TTGTAGATAGCATATAGTTGGGTCATGTGTTTTTATCCACTCTGCTTTTTGATTGGAGCATTTAATCCATTTACATTGATAGTAATTACCGATAAAGGAGGACTTCTGCCATTTTATTAGTTTTTTGAGTGTTTTATACTTTTGTCCCCCATTTGAGCCAGTACTGCCTTCTGTGTGTAGTTGAGTTTTTTTTTTTTTTTGGGTCGGGGGGAGGTAGTAACCATTCTGTTTCCCTTCTCCTCTCGTTTTGTGAGTATTATGTATTCATTCATTCATTCATTCATCCTAGTTCTTGAAATTTAACTATTATACTGTGGAACTTCTGGAGAGGAGCTTCTTCTTTGTTATTATTGTTACTATTTTAAATGATTCAGTGTTGTAGTTCTCTGCTTCAACATCAGATTCCCCATCTTATGTGCACGTGCTGTGGTCCCTTGTTTTCTTCTAGATTTGTTGTGGGGGCATGGGAGCACCCAGCAGCTTATGCTGCCATCTTGTTTGCACTTCCAGGACTCTTAACTGCTTTTTTAAAGATATTTTTATTAAAGCAAATGTATTGAAATACAGTGTACGTCTTTTAAAGTTCACCTTTTTAGATCATATTGCTATCAGGTATTCAGATTAAAGTGCAAATTTAGAACCTGTATAACCTGTGAAAACGAAATTGTTTTCACAACTGGTGTTCTAATTTTGTTTTGTTTTTTTTTTTTTTGGAGGCTCAAGAAAATTAAATTATGTGTCTTCCCTGATTATATAATTGAAAGTGTTTCCTTTCACTTTTGGTTTTCAGTAATAGCTAGAGAGATTATGAGTTATTTGAGTAAGGGGTGAGTTCTTAATATGTTTTGAAAACCTAAAACAGTGGTTCTCAATTAGGGACATTTGGCAATGTCTGGAGACATTGGTTGTCACAACTGGGGAGTGGAGAATGCTACTGGCATCTAGTAGGTAGAGGCCAGGGATGCTGCTAAATATCCTACAGTGCATAGGACAGCCTCTCTCACAAGAAGGAATTATCTGGTACAAAAAGTCAGTGGTCTTGCCATTGAGAAACCCTTCCTTAAAATAACACTTTCTTCATCTCATGGCTAAAAACTATACGTATGAACGTGGAGAAGTCCTCACAGAGAGCTTCATTACTAGGATCTAGGAAGACTATTACCATATTAATTTATTATATGCTTTGGGAGGACATGAAAGTGCGAATAAACAAGTGAAAGGAAACATGTTTTATTTTAGACATTGGTTTAACATTCGGTTCAGTTAATGTAAGTGAATTTGCATCATGTCTTTTTTTTTTTTTTTACAGGTGTATGAAGACTCTGGTCACCTTTACACACGTCGTCCCTGAGTGGCACCCACTTAATGCTGCGCATTTTGGTCCATGTAACAATTGCAACAATAAGTCACAAATACGGAAAATGGTACTGGAAAAGTGAGTTAAAATTGCTTTACAAATTGTAGAACAAAATGAAGGTGGATTTAAATTTTTTAAATGCGTGGAATTGAAAGTGATGACTACAATCTACTTTTCAGAAATTTGAGTCAACATATATTTTTGTATTGTCAAATGCATCTCTCTATCATGAACTATGGCCAATAAGCAAGCTGTTTCAGGCTAAATACCACTGAAGAGCTGACTTAGAGTTCTAGTGTTTTTCCTTCTTTTGCCTTTTCTCTCCCTTTAGGGATAATAAGCTTCAATTTTTCTCTCCTGCCAAGTGCCTGGGTCACTAGAATTCTGGGATTACCTCAGTCTGATTTCAAGAACTAAGATAATTCTGAGATGAGCTACAGGCTCATCTCTCTGAGTTTTCATCTCCCAAACCTCAGCCTGCTAATTCTTCATCATCTTGTAAACTCTCTGCTGCATTTGAGCAGATGAGTTTTTATTATATTTTGTTCAGCTTTTCTATTTGGCCTCAGAGGGAGGGCTGGTCAAAATTACCTTTTCTAGTGTTAATAGAAGCCCAGTTCCATTTTAGGCAGTTTGTCTATCTCTCTCTTGTTGATGCACACACATGTATACATGTTCTTGACCTTCATTTGCGATCTCCCTATAAAAATGGCATGGGGTCAGTGTCTGACCTCTTAACTTCACAAGGAGGAAGGAGAATCAAGATGAACAGCCCAAGGCTGAGTCCCTGTGAGGTGGAGATCAGACATACCTCCTTTCTCTGCTGTCTTTACCAATTCTGACACTAACTGTCCTTCTCACGGTACTCTCTACTTCTCTGCTGAGTTGATAATTTGTTACAGTGGCCACACAGAACTCACAGACCATACTCACCGTTATGGGGTTTATTAGGGAAGTAACAGGTTACAGTTCAGATTTAGGAATGCTCAGGATTTAGTTCTTCCATCAGGACAGCCTTTTCTCAGCCGTGCCTGCAGGCACGCCTCTCTATGGCCCTCAGCTTGGGCACGTTAACAAAGCTCTTTTAGCTCTGCTGATAAGTGCGCCAAAACACCCCCCTGTGCCAGTAAGCCTCGACCTGAAGGCATTAAGCTCTAGCTCTCTGGATCGGCAAACATAGCTCCACCAGGTGCCTGGAAGTGCCCTACTCCACCAGCAAGCCTCCACTTGAAGGCACTCAGCTTTCTCAATCTGTGGGCAGGGAAGCCCACCATGCCTCCTGGTTCTGCCTCCTCTGCTGCTGCCGTTTCTCTGCCACTGCTTCTTGCTGTCTTGGTATTATAGCTGTCTCACTGTCACCGGGGTCTAGGATGGTCTCAAGTCAGGGATCCCGGATCCAAAGGACACGCTGTGTTCCTGGCTCTTCTTGGTGTGGTGAGATCCTCTCCTCCCACCTCTGGGATGGCTCATTTTTAGCCTAGTGGGATGGCAAAACTGACCAATCCCCTTGGTGGGCCACAGTTACCTTATTTCCATAGTCCTACCCAATCACTTGGTTAGGAGTTACAGGACCATGGAGAGCAAGGCCATATAAAAGCAGTCCATCACGCCGCACTTCCTTATCTCTAACTCTACGTTAAAGAAACGTTTTGAAGTATAATTTGATAAAGAACCAGTGACATTAACCTCTGATGCCTTTGGATGCGCCAAGAAGCCCCTCAGAATCTTTGCTAAATGTTAACTTTATTTGAAGTAATAAATTCTCAGTTAATCTGATACTACTGAAAGGCTTAAAAGTATAAAAGAGCAGCCTCTATTTTCCACTCCCTTTCTAGGCATCTTCTTTAAACCCGTAAAGGTAGTATTTACCTTGACATTTCTAAACGATAATACTTATTCTGTGCGGTGTAGTCTCCTTTTATAGTAGTTGAGGATTAGGGCTGTAGACCAACATCTGGGCCCCATCTCTACTTATCCTCTCCAGTCTTTCCAGTATGAAGAATTTTTTTTTTTTTAAATCATTTATCAGTGTTTACATTATTATGAACGTACATGTGTTATTCCCTGTTAAGCCAAGTAATATACTTGGTTGTGTCTCGTTTCTTTTATAACTCTTTATTTTTCCTTGACTTATTAATTGCCTTTGTTTTTATTTGCTTTGTTTATGTATGCATTGCTATTTTTTTCCCAGATGCTTCAAACATCTCTAATAAATATTCCAAACACTCATGCTTCAGTATTTTGAGTTCCTTTCCCCCCCCCACCGGAAACTTCTCTTTTGCTGCTTTTCTGCCTCAATCTTCCAGTCTGTATTGATTCCTCTCTGGGCTTGACACGTAGATTTGTTCTTTACACACACTTTCAGTCACTATTTTAGTTTTTGGCTGGAGGGCTCACTCCCACGTTCTACAATATCTGCTTTCTGTAAATACTGAGTCTTTTAGGGGCAGATAAGCCCTTCTTATCAGTGTGCCCACTCTGTAGCACTCACACCATTACTTCATCCCTTCTGCTATGTAAGTTCCCACTTCCCTGTTGGCTTTTTGTCTTCTAAATGTCTGTTCACTTCTTATTACCTTTTTCCTCCTTCCCATTTCTTTGTCCTTTTGGACCTTTTTTAGCCCTTCACTGTCATTTGATATTTCATTGGGTGGACAGGGCGGGAAGGAGGAGGAGATATCTTTAACCGGAAGTGCATTATCTGACTTGGTATTCTGGTGTCAAAGTTTTGAGAGGGATCCCTTTCTTCCCCCTGCCTCTCACCCTCTTGCTTTGTTTTTTAAAGCCCCTTCCTTGATGATGAGGAAGGTAGAAGGGGAGCTGCATGTGGGTTTCTGCCATCCTGCACTAGATGATTGGTTGAGGCTTGCGTCTTGGTGTATGTAATTTCTTCTAACTGTTTATATCTGCTTTTTCTCAAACCCCAGCATGGAAGATAAATTCACACTGTTATTTCGTTTGATCTGTTCATTGGTTGCATTGAAACATATAATTTTTTATTATACAGATAGGATGCTTTACTTACACTACAGATTTATGCCCTAATCTGGAAGTTTGTCCATTAGCTAAAATAGTGTTTCAATGGAAAATGTGTTTTGAGTTCCAGTGGGCCAGTTTATAAGCAGACTTTGTAATTTGGACATTCCCTGTATTCTTCAAAAGTAAATTGAACTAGTGTATAAAATTTCACTTAAATTTTGAATGACAGGATCTTCATAAAGGCCTAATTATAGTGTTTTACTTTGAAATTTGTGTAACTTGATTTGTTGATGTCTAGTAGAATTTAGAAGCAAATTTAATATAGTTTTTAGGGATAAATTAGAAATAATTAGGTCTGTCATGATATGTGTAATTCAGTCTTAGAGCATTCTAAAAACTGATACCACTGTAAGTTCCCTGAACACCTTGTCAGATAACCCACATCAGTAGTATGTTTCCATTAGAAGAATATTTCATTGATAAATCAGGTGAATGATAATCTACTGTGCACAAATCTTCTACTTTTCTTCAAGTAAATTATTTAGGAGTTATATTCAGATCATGGTAACATGAAGCACCAAGAACTTAGAATCAGATTTAATTTTACTTTATACACTCGTGAAATGAACCTCTCATTACGGCCACAGGAATCTGGTCAAATGCTTTCCTAAAGTGGCACTTGGAAAGCTTATTTATTTCAACTTTTGTTTTGACAGTGATTTATTAAACAACTATTTGTAAAATAAAGGATGGGGAGTGGTAAGAAGAGAAATGCCATTTCCGTTCTGTCTTATTAAAGGCTAGTACAAAGATTTTGAGGCTTTTTTAAAAAGCAGATAAACTACACCCTCCTTTGTGAAATTTTGGGTAGGATAATGATATATAAAATAGTTAAAATTATATTTTTTAAGTTATTATTCATTGTTTGACAGAAAATGCTTTGTTATTTATAAAATCCCTCAGCTACCTCCAAAGAATATAGCTTGTAAACCCATGTTGAACAATTGGATTTTTCTAAAGCTGTATTTTCTTGTTACAACTAATGTGGGTCACTTCTAATTATTTGAATACAGCTGATTTCATTCTTTTTTTTTTTTTTAATTTGTCATAGGGTCTGAAATAATCCACCAATGACATAATAGATCTAAAATATAATGAAATTAAAAAATTACATTTGCAGATTTTTTCTGCCTAAAACCTACATTATTAGAGTTCACAAGTACATATATTGAATGCACATTGCTTTATTACCATTTTCTAAAAGATGAATTATTACAATACATCAGTTGGGGTGAAAATTGAAACTTTTTGGCCATTTGCACCAGACTGTGGCTGCTCTTTGTGGGACAGACATGGTATTCCCCTTCTGTGTTTGGGTAGTAGGAGTTCTTTGTACTTTCCTTCTCTTTGTTTTCTTTCCCTGAGGGTAGAACCATATAATGGGATGAGTTTACCTCTTTGTTGAAGAGGTGAATGCAAATGAATCTTAGCTTGAAATCTCTAGTTGACTCTAGTTTCAGTTCTGTTACCCCCCTACCCCACCACCATCCCATTTTCCTGTGGTTGAGGCAAAGCCTAACTTGATTTCCTCAACTTTGAGCTTCATCTTTTTACTGACACTCTAGCATTGCAGGTAGGAAGGAAGAAGCCTGGGAACAAAATCCAGCACCAAGCTAGGGAAGAAGTTCTACCTTCACCTGAGAGGCTGGCAGTGAAATAAGCTGGAATCGTGGTAGGAGAGTAGTGTGACTCTACAGGATATGTGTTCACCCAGAGTGAAAAAGGAACTTGAAAAAATGGAGTAGCCCTGAAATAATACATATGCTTTTTTTGGTTGACTCCAAAACACCATTGTTTATAAGTTGTGCCTTTTTTTTTTTTTTTTTTTTAAATATGCTGTTAAGAAAAACGCTGCTTGTTAAACTGCAGGCTATCAGTTGTTAGGTGCATCCCAATCTCAGAGGTGTTAAAATACAGGGGGGAAAGTGCATTTGGAATTTATGAAATTTCACTGTGATGGAAAGTAGTACAGAGGACATTCTGAGGGTTTTGCCTGTGTGTGAGTGAAATGATAGTAAAACACTCTCAAGATTTATAATTCCATTAGGGAAAGGGAAGGACAACACACATTACAGTAGAAGTCAGCACAACTGGACTAAACCAAAAGCTAAGAAGTTTACTTTGAAGGACACAGTCGCAGGGGCGGGGGTCTGGGGACCATGGTTTCAGGGGACATTTAGGTCAACTGGCATAACAAAGTTCATTAAGAAAATTTTCTGCATCCCGCTTTGGTGAGTGGAGTCTGGGGTCTTAAAAGCTAGCGAGCAACCATCTAAGAGGCATCAATTGGTCCCAACCCACCTGGAGCAAAGGAGAATGAAAAACACCAAAGACACCAGGAAAATATTACCCACAAGACAGAAAGGGCCACATAAACCAGAGACTCCATCAGCCTGAGACCAGAAGAACTAAGTGGTACCCGGCCACCACCAGTGACCGCCTTGTCAGGGAACGCAACAGAGTCCCTGAAAGAGCAGGAGAAAAGTGGAGTGCAGAGCTCAAATTCTAGTAAAAAGATCAGACTTAATGGTCTGACTGAGACTGCAGGAACCCCAGAAGACATGGCCCCAGGACTCTCTGTTAGCCCAAAACTAAAACCATTCCCGAGGCCAACTTTCCAGACAAAGATTAGACTGGACTGTGGGACATAAAATGATAACTTGTGAAGAGTGTGCTTCTTAGCTTAAGTAGATACATGCGACTAAATGGACAGCTCCTGTCCAGAGGTGAGATGAGAAGGCAGAGAGGAGCTGGTTGAATGGACATGTGCAGTCAGAGGTGGAAAAGAGGAGGGTGCTGTCACAGTATAGGGAGAGCAGTTAGGGTCACATAACAATGTACGTATAAATTTTTGTATGAGAAAGTAACTTGAATTGTAAACTTCCGCCTAAAGCACAATAAAAAAATGATAATTCCGTAGCCGGCACTGTCTAGTTCTTGTGGTCTCAGGTAGATGAGGCCATGGGTCGTGAACGCTACTTGACCTGTAGACTAGTTTCTTCTTTGGCTAGTGTTAGAGGATGTTTTTGAATTGATATAATTGCTCTCTAATTGTTGTCTTCTCTTCTTGCTGGATAAAAAAATCAAATTCCCACCCTACTGGAATTTTCTGACAAATCATTTCTTGGTATCTAGGGAAATTTTTTAGTGTTTAACTAGAGTTTGAATATCTACTGTGTTCAAAGAAGTATGCTAGGTGTGGTATTTGATCTTTGCAGTTTTTACTGTCAGTAATTTGCAAAAGAATATTTTAGAAGCCTCGGAATGTACAAGAAGCATATAGATGTGTCAGGTGGTTTCCATGCATTGTTTTATTTGTTCATATTAATAAGCATGTCTGCAAACAAAACATTTTCCATGTGTTAAACTCACAGAAAGCAGGAAACTAGTGGCATTGTGTAGCCTGGGGATCAACAAGAAAATGTTTTAAAGTAACTAGCCTCTGTAGATATATCTTGAAAGGTATCATATGAAGCCACAGGAACTAAATATTAGTAATTAAAGAGTCAGGCAGTACTAAAGCTTGCATATCCAGCTGTGAGAATACGTCTCTGGTTTTTCTGCCTATCATTGATTCAGAGACCCACTTCACATTTTAATACATCTGAAGTAGGGATACACCTTAAAATTGGTGGCATGGTACAGTTTAATTGGCAGCGTTCTTCCATTCTGGTACGTTTTACAATTATTGATGTTTTAGATTTGGTGAAATGTGTTAAAAAAAAAAAAAGTAGGAAAGAGTTTAGCGTTGCAGACTGTTTTGAGGGACTCTTTATTTGTGAGTACTTCTTTTTGAAGACTTGATTATTCCCCAACAGAATGACTGACAAGGGTAATTTACAGATTATCCCTTGTCAATCTGAATATCTGTGTTTTGGATGTTGATTCAAGTTCATTTCAGCTGAATAAATTTTGATAAGCTAAGTAAGTTTTGACAGCTGTTTAAATATTGAGAAAGGGGATAATTCGACGTTTTCTTTAGATCCTGAGAGCTTTGTGAAATTTAGCCATTTCAGGCCAATCTTTGGTTTCTCTTTCTGATTCAGCATGTTACTATAAAGGTAAAATACATTTTAGGAATTATGGATGTTTGGAAATTTACAGTAAATCAGCCAGTATGGTGTGTTTTCTTTTCTCCCTAGTTAGAAATTCAGCTTTTACCAAATAGAAATTTTAATATCTACTCTACTTCCTGAGATAACAGAAACAGGCCAGATTATCAGCATGTTGGGTTTTTTTTTTTAATGTTTATTTAAATATCTTAGGTTTGTTACTTTGTTTTGTGTGTTGTCCACACCACCCCCTAAAAGCAAGTCATTTGCGCGCTTGATGGCAAAGAAAATTCGAAAACGTGATTTTGTCCTTTGATTCTACAAACTAGCTGCTGAGAGATCTTTCCGCCAAAGCAGCACTGCCGCTCACAGAGCAATTTCTGTTTAATGAGCTGTGTGAGGGCCTTCCTGCAGGAGGGCTTCCAGCTGTCAGCGGTGCCATTCTGAGAGGGTTAACTGTTCCAGACTTCTTAGAGAGAGTTCTCCGTTTCTAATTAGGACGCACATCTGGAGGTTCTCAAGAAAAATGAGTGCAGTTAGCCTTGAAAGTGGCATGTGTGACTTGGTAGCCTCAGACCATCTTTTGTATAACCAGACACACAGCACTGAATTTGTCTGCCTTCTCTTTCTTTTCTCGCCCACAGGCTATCTCCCATATTCATGGTGCACTTTGTAGAAGGCTTACCACATAGTGATTTACGGCAGTATTCATTTCATTTCGAAGACTCTCTTTATCAAGTAACTTGTGTAATTCAGTACCAAGCAAATAATCATTTTATAACATGGATCTTAGATGCTGATGGTAAGTGTTTCAGTGTTGTTCTTTTATGATAATAGGCATGGAGACTAAACTCTAGTGTTGTTGTTTTTTAAAAGAAAAAAAGACAAACTTTGCCTTGACTTTTCTTTTCTCTCTATTCTTGCCCTTGCCTTATTATTTTTAAATAATATTTTATTGTGTTTTTTTGTGAAAGTTTACATAGCAAGTTAGGTTCCCCTTTGAGAATTTCCACACAGATTGATCAGTGATATTAGTTACATTTTTCACATCGTGTCAAAATTCTTATTCATTGTGTTCTGGTTATTTCATTTCCAGTACTGTAAATTCCCTGCCCCCTTGTCTTCTCATCTTTGCTTTGGGATAAATACTGACCTTTTGGACTCATACAGGTGTTTTTTTTAGTAGAGCAGTGATCTTAACGGGTAATATCCTTTATTTTGTGTGTCTTTCTGCTTTTGTGTTAAAAGGTCATCTTGGAGTAGTTTTGGTTCAGAGTTTGAAGAGCGTCTCAGGGCGATAGTCTGAGGGAGTCCTCTGATCTCAGTGGTCCAGTTAATCTGGTCGTATTTATGAATTTGAGTTTTATTCTGCATTTTTCTCCCATTCTAGCCAGGATCATCTGTTGTGGCCCCAGTCAGATCCATCAGTGTTGGTAGCCAGGCACCATCTAGTTCTTTTGATCTCAGGGTAGTTGAGGTTATGGCTCGTGTAGGCCATCAGCCTTTTAAACTTGTTTCTTCTCTGTGATTTTGGTTACCTTCTTACTCTTTCGCTCCTGATGAGTAGAGACCAATAGTTGTATCTTAGATGGCTGCTCACAAGCTTTTAAGACCCCAGACGCTACTCACCTCACTAGGATGCAGAACATGAACTTTATGAACTATAATATGCCAGTTGACTTAGTTGTCCTGTGAGACTAAGATCCTAAGCCTTCAAACCGAGAAAACCAATCTCGCACGGTGTTTGGTTATGTCTGAGAATTCTCTGTAATTGTGTCTTTTATGAATATATGTGCCTGCACTCATGTATCTGTACTTACACATACATACAGATCTGTGCACACTTATGTATACATCTTTACCTACCCACCTGTGTGCCTATATACATACATATGTGACCATATACTTGTTTTTTGGTCATTGTTGGTATTGTTGCCAAATCACATGTGTCAGTTTCTTTAGTAAAAGCGTCCTTTTCTCTTGAACGCTTCTTGTGACATCATTTACTTTGATCAAGCTGTGCTCACTATATCCACCTTCAGTGCCACTTTTCCCATCCCCCAAAATAACAAGTATGTATGATATAAAGCATGCTTCCCCCTCTCTCCCCTCCTCCCCCTGGTAGCCACCATTGAATAGTGCTCTTTTTATATATCTGTTCTTGTCTTCTTAATGAAAGAGGGATCATACAATATTTGTCCTTACGTGCTTGACTTATTTTACTTAGCATTATGCCCTCCAGGTCCATCCACGTGACAATATGTTTCATCACTGTTCTTTATGGTTGTGTAGTATTCCGTTTACACGTGTATACTACATTTTGCTTATCCATTCATCCACTGATGGGCACTTCGGTTGTTTCTTTTTCTTTTAGCTATTGTGAGTAAAGCTGCAGTGAACCTAGGAGTGCATATATCTGTTCATGTCACACTTTTAGGTGTTATGGGTATATGCCCAGGAGTGGAATGGCTGGATTGTAGGGTGGTTTTGTTTCCAGCTTTTTGAGGAAGCACTCTATCATTTTCCATAGTGGTTGTACCATTTTACATTCCCACCAGAAATGGATAAGGCTTCCAATCTGCCCACATCCTCACCAACATTTGTTATTATCTGTTTTTTGTTTTGTCTTTTTTTAAATCAGTTACATTTTAATGGGGGTGAGATGGTATCTTGTTGTAGTTTTGATTTACATCTCTCTAGTGGCTAATGATAGTGAGCATCTTTTCATGTGTTTGTTGACTGCTTGTATGTCTTTCAGTGAAGGTTCTGTTCATGTCCTTTGCCTATTTTATAATTGAGTGGTTTGTCTTTTTATTGTTGAGTTGTTGGAGTTTTCTATACATTTTGGAGATTAGACCCTTATCTGATATGTCATTTCCAAAGACTTTTTTCCAGTCTGTAGGTTCTCTTTTTATTCTTTTGGTAGTGTCTTTTGATGAGCATAAGTTTTTAATTTTTATGAGGTCCCATTTATCTATTTTATCTTCTTCTATTTGTGCATTTGTTGTAATGTTTGTTATCCTATTTTTACAAAAGATTAGGTCCCATAGTTTCCCCCCAAGAATTTTATAGTTTTAGGCTTAACATTTAGGGCTTTGATCCATTTTGAGTTAATTTTTGTATATGGTGTGAGGTATGAGTCCTGTTTCATTTTTCTGCAGGTGAATATCCAGTTTTGCCAGCACTATTAATTAGACTGTTTTTCCCATACTGAATGGAGTTTGACCTCCTGTCAAAAATCAATTGTCCATAGAAGGCTGGACTTAGTTCTGGGTTTTCAGTTCTGTTCTACTGGTCTACGTGTCCATTGTTGAACCAATACCAGGCTGTTTTGATCACAGTGGCTGTATAGTGTGTTTTGATATCCGGGAGTGAGGCCTCTTGCTTCATTCTTTTTCTTCAATTGCTTTGGCTGTTCGGGTTTCTTTCCTTTCCATATGAAGTTGGTTATTAGTTTTTCCATTTCAGTAAAGAATGTTGTTGAGATTTGTGTCAGGATTGCATTGTATCTGTAGATTGCTTTAGGTAGAACTGACATTTTCACTATATTAAATCCTCCAATCCATGAGCATGGAATGTCTTTCCATTTTCATAGGTCTCTTTTAGTAGTGTTTTATAGTTTTCATTGTGTAAGTCTTTTTTGCCCTTGCTTTTACTTCCTCCACCCCTCCCCAACACACCCCATCAGCTTCCTAACTTTTTTTCCTGCTAATGTCAGTGTATCTGGGTATATACACGCATGTATACGTATTTCTCTTTTAGACAAAAAATGAGATCATATGCTACTGTTGGTGTGCAGTTTACTTTTTTCCACTTAATATCTTTGCTTTAATTTTTTTTTTATTACATGAATATTACATACATGTTCATTGTAGAAAAGTGAATAGTGGGAATTTTAATTTTTTTACTTCTTTTAAAAAGAAAGTGCATCACACTGCAGGTTTTTAATCAAGAAAGAACAAGAAAAATAAGTTTTGTTTAGACTGCAATGGTTAGTATAAACAAAAAATAAAAGTAAATATTTGTTTCTAAGAATATTAGGCATGAGAGAAGATCTGAAATCCATTGTTTGTTAAAAAGCTTCATTCAAGGTAAAGCCCTTACCTAAATAATTAAACTTAATAGAAGGCTAAATAAATACATACAGTTTGTGAATTTTGCTAATCTTTTCCCTTCCATTTCTCTAATGTGGTTTAATGTTGAGTTTGTTTTACTCGCATTGTTCACTTTGTCTTAGACAAGATAACTTAATCCCCTTGAAGTGTATATCAGGCACTTGGTAAGATGTCACTTTGATATAACATTTTCTGTTGTTTGGACACTTTTCATATTTGAGAAACTCTTGAATTTTTTCCTCCTGGGATGGTTTGGCTAGATAACAAAATAATGTGTTGTATAAAAGCACTTTGCAAACTGAAACTCACACTGTAAATGCAGTTACTACCTTGAAGTTTAATCCTGCTTCAGCTTTCAATAACATAAACCAAAACTAAAAAAAATCCACGTTAAGTTTCCCTTGTATTCCAGTGTATTCACTTAATCATTTCACAGTGCGAAGAGTAGAAAGTTAGTAGTTAAGCTAAAAAAAATCCTCTTCAAGTGAAGTGTACTTTCCAAGAAACCCTGAGAGCATCTAAAAATCATTCAGTTAGTTTATAATAAATTTCCTGACCCAACCCTAGACCAGTGAGTTAGTCACTCTCTGGGGATTGGGCCAAATATCAGTATTGATGTAAGAGCTCCCCAGGTGATTCTCAGGGGCAAGTATGGTAGAGAACCACTGACAGAGGGAAGAAGTAGCAGGTTCAGGTAGTTTTAGAAGGGTATATCCACGTAAGTCACATACTCAGCAAATTGTGGGTGTGTGTGTGCGTGCGTGCGTGTGTGTGTGTGTGTGTGTGTGGAGGGGGCTAGCAGGTCTCTGCATATATTGTCTCATTTTCCTTTTTGTGATATACTCTCAGAGAAGTCATACTTCTGTTACTTAGTCATGCTTTCATTTTACTTTATGTCAGATATTTTAATAAATACTTAAATCTTGTTTTTCATTTTTCCATTTTGGGAATTTTTTTCAATCTGTGTTATATCTGGGACCTTTGTTGTTCTCAGTTACTAATGATACCTTAGAAATTGAATTGGTCTCTAGCAGCAGATGAAGAAGGGTGTCTTTCCCTTTGTTTACCCTCCTTACTTCTCAAGATTGGTTCCTTAGAGGAAGACTTTGAAACTTGTGACACTCTTAATGTAAGGTCTTTTTCAGCATTAGAAAGTGAATTTTGTGGCTATATCCCATTTGTATCAGTCGTGAGTTCTCAGCGTCTGCTCTTAGAAATCTTTTTTTCCAAAAAGATAGGTGTCTGTATATTTAAGGGAGAAAGGGAAGGGAAACATAGTACACTTTAGATATTTAATACTACGTGTCTCTAGGGTGGCTGTGAGTCAGAATTGACTTGACGGCAGTAGGTTTGGGTTTGGGTTTTGGTAAATGTAATTTTGAAACATTAAAGAACACTGTAGTGGTCATCGTTTCTCCACTGTTAAACAGTGTTATCTAGAATAATGTACTCCCTTAAAGGAAATGGGGTGGTTTGGGGGCTCACTACTGTAATCCAAGGGATAGCAAATGTTTTATTAAGAAGTCGGGTGGTGTTTAACATCAGGATTTATTCATCACATTTAGTTTAACAGAAATCTAGAGTAAGCAACATGTTTGCTGTGTCACAGTTCACATGAAACTATACTTTTTCTGTCCATTTACGTTTTATAGATGCATGCGTATTGATAGATGCAGTTGAAGTGTGGATGGGTTGGAAAAGTCAGCAATAAGAGCACGTGTAATTGTTAATTAGTTAAAAGCTGTTACGTGTCCAGGCCTGTAGTTAGCGCTTCCCAAATTGCCATGTGGTAGTAAGTAAAATATAAATATAAAAACGTACCTTCCGTTAACCCCGCATCACCCACCAGCACCTAGCCACCTTCCTTTTCTTCTTAGCTGTGCTTTTTTTTTTTTAAGGGCTAGTTTAAGCAAGTTACCTCCTCATTTCTCACCTACACTTGAGTCACTACATCATGACTCCTGTTGCTGCTGCTCCACTGACACACTCCTTGACTTAACACTTAATACAGTACTTCAGTATTTGACACAGTAGCCTAGGCCTAGTCAGTATACTCTTCTCTTGTCATCCATCATATCATTTCCACCTAACAAATGAGGAAACAGAGACTCAGAAATAAAATAAGAATTGAAACAGATGTTGGTATCTGAGATAAGAAGCTTTATTTAACTTGAAAACTCATACATATGAGACAACTTCTGTTTTCTGACATTGTTGGATAAATAGTTGATACTGTATTCTAAGCCACAAAAGTTAAATATGCTTGAGTTTTGTGGGTATTTTAGGAAAAAATATAAACTATCCAAACAACTAGTTTTCCAAATTTATGAGTATGTAAGTCCATAACTTTTGTTATCCAAAGAAGAACTTTAACATTTGGCAGAGAAAAATGGTGGCATGAGAATAGGGGCTTGTCTTAAAGTGTTCGCCTTTGGTCTGTATTCAGTGATACAGTGATTTAAAAGGCCAGAAGAACGTTAAACTAAGATGGTGGCTTTTGAATGTCTAACCTCTTTCCTGTTCTTTCCCATTCTCCCAGGAAGTTGGCTTGAATGTGATGACTTAAAAGGCCCATGTGCTGAGAGACGTGAGAAATTTGAAGTTCCTGCTTCAGAGATTCATATTGTTATTTGGGAAAGAAAAATATCCCAAAGGATAGATACAGCAGCTGCTGGCCTTCCACTTAAAAAGACGAATGATCAGCATGCTTTTGGCAGTCAGAAACCAGTGTTTCCAGCATCCTGTTCTGTGGGTGATACTGCCTCAGCTGGAACATCTTCAGTAACTCAGCCCTCAAGTATGTCAGGTGCTTCAGCTTCTCTCTCACAGGATGACGCTGTAGTTATCGGAGATCATTTACTTTCAGGTCCACATGGTTTGGTTGACAATAATCTTTTAACTTTGACACTTGAAGAAATACAGGTTAACTCTGAAGATTTCCTGTTAGAAAACAGACCTGTGGGAGAAAATGAAGGAGTTGTTGTAACAAATACTTTGCAATCTCAAGAGTCACTGACAGATTCTTCCGTATTAGCTCCATGTATGGAAAAGCTTGTCAAAGACCAAATTGTGGATGTCAGGTTTCCATCTCAAGTTACAAATGCAGATGTGCTGTCAGTACAGCTGAATACAGAAGACACTGTAATTACTCAGCCTGGGAATAATGGTGCTACTGATCTTCCACAAGGAGTCAAGTCAGTTGAAATTGAGAAGAGTACTCAGTTAAAACAGTTCCTTTCACCAGAAACTGAGAAATTAAAGCCAGAACACGTTACATCTCAGGTGTCTAACTTCAAGAAAAAAGAAGCTGCTGCATATTCTCCAACCATAGCAGCTAGGTCGGCACACAGTCAGCCTCTGAAAGAAAATCAGAAGAAACCATTTGTGGGAAGTTGGGTAAAAGGCCTGTTAAGCAAGGGCGCTTCTTTTATGCCACCTTGTGTCTCAGCTCATACTAGAAACACTGTCACTGATTTGCAGCCTTCAGTGAAAGGGGCAAGTAATTTTGGTGGCTTTAAAACTAAAGGTACAAACCAGAAGGCTAACCGGGTATCCAAGAAAGCACGGAAGAGTGCAAGTAAGCCTCCTCCGGTGAGTACTCCTGCACCAAGTGATCCCTCATCAGATAGCACAGCTTCTCATCGGCGTGCTGCTGGTAGTGCTGACTCAGACGTTGTGAAGCAGTGTGAAAGCGCCTCTCGTGGCACTCACCTCAGTCACAGTTCCCGTGGAAATGAAAATGGCGTTTCTTCAGCCAACCACGGAAACTCAGTTGATGGCCAGATTCATCGACTTCGACTAAAACTTCTTAAAAAGCTTAAGGCAAAAAAGAAGAAATTAGCTGCTCTTATGTCTTCCCCCCAGAATGGAACACTTCCAAGTGAAAATGTGGAAGGTGAGTCCCATTGTGGGTCTCCAAATGATTGTGAATCCATAGAAGACTTGTTAAATGAACTGCAGTATCAGATTGATATTGCAGATAAATCCAGCTGCACCACAATTCCTAGTGCTTCCCAATACAGTGGGCAAACTCAGGAAGAGATTTTAGCAGAACTGCTGTCTCCTGCAACTGTTGTTTCACCAGAGCTTCCAGAGCATGGAGAAGCTGACTTCAGGTACTTGGAAATGGGAGATAACCATATTCCAGCACCAGTATCCAGTGAATTAAGCACTATTCCCCAAAACACACACCTGAGACAGGACCATGATTATTGCAGTCCCACCAAGAAACATCAAGGTGAAGTTCAGACAAACTCACTAACAAATAATTCCTGTGTTAGAATGTTAAACTTGGAGACTTCCATGAAAGCTGATATTTTTGATGAATTTTTTTCTACTTCAGCATTAAATTCTTTAGCAAATGATCCATTAGACTTACCTCATTTTGATGAATATTTGTTTGAGAGTTGTTGAATGCCTGTTAACTCTTTAGTTTAATATTTATTATTGCTCTTGAAGAACTTAAGTTACGTTTTTAGGTAGTGTTTCCACACTGGCCTTGTCTGAATAACCGTGAACAAAATGTAAGCTATGGGAGATTTTCCTTTGGTTCTACCTAGAAAAGCATGTAATCTGTTTTACAAATTAAAATTATCAAGAATTTGTTCTTTTTTTGCTTCATTTTGTACTTGTAGGAGAACGAGGATTTCAGAACACTGAAAATGAAAAATAATGTCTCATTTCTGGCGTTTTGTACAGTTGGGTGCATTAAGTGTCTAGGTTTTTAATTTGGGCCACATCGGTTGAGGAAAAGCACTAGCTTATACAAACTGAAGGCTTTGTATACTGTATCTGAATGTGTGACTGTTTTGCGAATGGTTTTGTGGTCTTTGATAAGAGCCTAAGCCTGTCTCACCCAGGTTGAGTGCTATGGAATATCAACTTCCCCTATACGATTTATCTCCTTTTCTTCTCCTTACAAAGATGGCAGGAAACCTTATTACTAGAACTTTGAATAATGTTAAGTAATTATTCAGTAAGTGATCTGTAACAGGAAAAAAGTCATCTATTTTTGCATTGATGTACAAGAAGTTTACATATTGTCATAAATACCACCTTTCTCCAATGATATTTATTTCTATAGTCGAACTGGAACACCATCCGAAAGTTCTGTTTTGGGAAGAGAATAACAACCAGTGTTGTCAAGTTGGCTGTCTGTCAGGTTTTGTTATGTATGTGAAACATTATTTAAACCTCAGCATTCCTGTGAGGGAGACCTTAGCGTCACATCTTACAGGCAGGGAACCAGGCACAGAGCTAGTGAGTTGTAGGGCTGGGATTGAGGAGAGGGTTTGCCACAGCCGCTAGATGTACTGTGGTGACCGACCTAAGAGTTCCAAGCTTCAGTTACCGTCGGGACACCCACACAGCACCCCTGCTGTAGTGGTGGGACTTAGCAGCAGTGGTTACCAAGGAAGTTGCAGGTACTGAGTACTTAATTTATTCGTCACATTTACTCCTGAGCCTTTTTTCTGATTATAGAAGTAATGCAAGTTTATTGTAAAGAAACTGGAGAAATGCAGAACAAGAAGAATTTGGGCATCTAAACATGACATTAACTACTACAAACATTTTCATGCATATAAGCTTTAAGAAATAAAATGAGATCCTGCTAATACCATTTGTATGATCCGTTTTTGCTTAATGCTTAATGAACGTTTTTCATGTCATAATTTTTGACAGCTTTTTGAATAGCTCAGTAATATTAGATTGTATGAATTTACCATTCTTTCAGGAATGTGCCCTGGGTGGCACAAACTGTTAAGTGCTTGACTAGTAGCCAAAAGTTTGGCAGTTCAAGTCCAGCCAGTGGCGCCTTGGAAGACAGTCCTGGCGATCTGTTTCTGAGAGGTCACAGCCTTGAAAACCCTATGGAGCAGTTCTGCTCCTCACACATGGGGTCGCCAGGAGTCGGAGTCAGCTCGCTGGCAGCCAGCCCCATTGTTTCACCAGTCTTTAGATTCTGAGGTGATCTGTAATGTCTTACTAGTGTTCATTGCACTGCAACGATTGTTGATAAATTTTTGTATAGATCCAAGTTATATTTTCTGGGAGTGGAATTGTTGGGCCAAAGGATATGCACATTTCACGTCTTAATGGTTGCACTCAACCCTCACCAACCCTAAGCACTAGCATTAAGAGAAAAGAAGCAACCATGACTATTTTTGTTTACATTTTCATCATTACTAGTGAAATTGAACGTTTTCTGTAACTGTTGGCCAGTTGAGTATCTTTGAGAAATTAGCTGTCCATCCCTTGTTATTGATTATTAATTCAGCAAGTTATTTCTAGATTTCAGCTCAGGGTCAAGCACTGTTCTAAGCCCCAGAGATAAGGCAACAAACAAAAGGAATTTCTTGCCCTTTGGGAGTTTGCCTTCTAAACAAGAAGATAAATATATAATGTTAGGTGGTAATAGGAGGTATGTATATAGTATCAGATGGTAATGCTGTGGAAGAAAAAAGGGAATGAAGAGTGAATGGGAGGACAGCTTTAGCCTGGGTGGACTGGGAGGGTCTCTTGGAGGTGGGTGACACTGGAGCAGAGACGTCAGTGAAGTTACAGAGTTAGCCATGTGGCTCTATGAAGAACATTCCAAGAAGAGCCCGGGTCCTCAGGAGTGGGGTGGGGTGGGGAGGTGGGGGCTTGGCATGATTGAAGACAGAGAAGAGGCCAGTGTGGTTGAGGAGAATGAGCAAGGGAAGGGATACTAGAACATGAGGTCAGAGAGGGTGACAGAAGCCAGATCTTGTAGGCTTTTTGGGCCATAGTGAGGGCTTTGTCCACCCTGAGAACAAAGAGAAGCTATCGGAAGGTTTCAGGTAAGAGAGTAACATGATCTCACCTGGGCTTTAAAAGGGTCACTGAAGTGGAGAATGACTGCAGGTGGTCAAGAATAGAGAGGTTGGAGTCCGTTACAGTCCTCCTAATGAGACTTTAGGGTGGTAGCCATGGAGGTGTTATTGGGTTACTGTGGCATTTCAAAGGTGGAGAGAGGCAACAGGATGTGTTGATGGATTGAACATGGGCTGAGAAAGGAGTCAAAGATGAACCCCAGGTTTTTGTTGCCTGAGTAAATGGATTGTACCTTTTTTTAAAAAATAGGACAGACTTCAGAAGGAAAGGATTTATAGGGAGTAAACAATTCCATTTTGGGTCTGTTAAGTGTGAGAGTCCTATTAGACTTCTAGGTAGAGATAATTTAATACAAAGATGGATCTACAGGCTGGAGCTCAGGAGAGAGCCGGAGACTGGGTACTCATTTGGGAATTACAAATTTATGGATCATATTTAATGCCATAATAGAGGATGAAGTCATCTATGGAGTTAAAACAGCCCTCAGAAACAAAGGCGGCAGTAGGAGGAAAATCAGAAGAGTATGATATCCTAAAAATCAAGGGAAGAAGGGTTTGTTTGTTTTTTTTTAAGAAAGAGGGAATGATTATCTGTCAGATGCTCCCGACAAGCAGACTTACACGAAGCCTGAGAACTGACCACTGGCTTTGCCAGTAGGAAATCCTTGGTAATTTAAGAAGGACAGTTGAAACCCCAGTAGAGTGTGAGAACAGTCGTGGATGGGTTCAAGAGAGAAGGGATGGTGAGGAAATAGAGACATAGTCCCACCTTGGAACATTTTGTGGGTGCCTGGTGGAGGAGTGTGAGGTTAAGGTTGTTGATGTTAACTAAAAGGAGAGATGTCACAGTACGTTTATGGGTGGACTCGAGTGTCCCATGGGGAGAGACAAATGGATGTTGTAAATGAGAGAAGGGCCAATTGCAGGAGGAAATTTCTCCAGGGCTTGGATCCAGTATATAAGAGGAGGAGGATTTGACCTTAAGAGCTGGAAGAATTTATCCATTCTAATAATACTAGAGAAGACAACAAATATGGGTAGAGATGTTGGAAGATGTGGTGATTAGAAAATGAGAAAGTTCTGATTGTTTTCTCAGGGAAAATATACAGTAAAATCATCAGCGGAGGGCGTGAGCAGGGGAGGAGTTGGAGATTGAAAAGGAGAAGAGGAGAGAGTGGAGAGCTAATTGAAGAGGGACATGCAGTAGGCTTGCTAGGAGGTTTATGGTCATAAATTTAACTTAGACCAGCTAAGATGCTGGTTTGTTTTTCTCCAATCATGTCTAACTCTGCAGGTGCAGGTCAGAGAGAATAGCTGGGAAATTGGTTTCAACCGTAGTAGAGGTATTGTCAGGCAAGTGGGACGGAGGGAGGAGGAAAGGAATTAAGGTTTTATACAAGGGAAAAGATTATAGTGATGGGTAAGGAGGGAAGTAGGGACGTGAGAAAGAAGCTCTGATGGCGCAGTGGTTAAGTGCTTGGCTGCTAACCCAAAGGTCAGCAGTTTGAACCCACCAGCCGCTCCATAGGAGAAAAGACATAGCAATCTGCTCCCATAAAGATTACAGCCTTGGAAACTGGGGTGATCTCTCCTATAGGGTCACTATGAGTCAGAATCGACTCAACGGCACACAAGAAGGACATGAGACAGGTAATGGTCAGTTAAAAAGTGATGGCAGATCTCAAAGGATTGGAGGTGCATTTAAAGAATGCCAGATTGGGACTAGTGGAGGAAGTAAGCTGATCAGAAAGGGATGTGCTTGAAATTAAGCTTCAGGGTGCTGTAATGGTGATGACACAGTCTGAGACTTGACAAAGAAAGCAGACGAGAAGCCCATAAAAAAAGACGAACCAAGCGGCCAGGATGGTGTATGGGTAGTCTTTGTGGAAGGCAAAGGCATCTAAATGGCAGCAGGAGTCCTGATGAAAAGAAATACACTGTCATCCAGGAGGTAGAATCCTCCAAGAAAGGCAGAACACCATGGAAACGGTAGATGACAACCAGAGGAGCAGTAATGGCTTGTGTTTCAAAGGTGCTGGAGAGTTATAAGGAGTATGTAGGACAGTGGTTGAAATGGCAACAAGGAGCAAGAAGGAACCTATCCCATGTCCAGGCCAGTAGTATGTGGGATGTGGGAGATAAAACACACCACTTGAAAGGGCTATTTCTTCAGGGGAAGTTCCGCTTAGTGTAAGGGAGTGGAACTCAGCTGCTAACCAAAAGGGTGGCAGTTTGAGCCCACCCAGTGGCTCCACAGGAGAAAAGACCTGGCAGTCTACTCTTGTAAAGGCTGTAGCCTAGAAACCCTATGGGGCAGTTCTATTCTGTCACATGGGGTCACTATGAGTTGAAATCTAACAACAAGAAGGTAGTGGAGAGAGTTTACAGACGAAGTTGAGGACATGGAAGGTCCTGTCAATGGTAGACCATTCCAGAGGGGCTCTGCGGAAGGGGTGGGAGGTAGAAGAAGTCTCAGTTATCTAGTGCTGCTATAATAAATACCACAAGTGAGTGGCTTTAACAAACAAATTTATTCTCTCACAGTTTAGGAGGCTAGAAGTCTGAACTCAGGGTGCTGACTGTAGGGGAAGGCTTTCTTTGTTGACTCTGGGGAAAGTCCTTGTTCCTTGGTTCCTTGATGATCTTCATGTGGCTTGGCATCTATCTTCCCCCATCTCTGCTTGCTTCTCTGTGCTTAGTCTGCTCTTTTATATCTCAAGAGAGATTGATTTAAGATACACCCTACACTAATACTGTCTATCACAAGGAAGACCCGTTCCCAAATGGGATTATAACCACAGGTGTAGAGGTTAGGATTACAACACATTTTTTGGGGACACAATCAATCCATAACCTTCCACCCTTTGGTTCCCTAAAATTCATATCCTTCCCACATGCAAAAAAAAAAAAAAAAAAAAAACCATCACATCATCCCAAAAGTCTTTAATCAACTCCAAGTCTAAAATCTCATCTTCCAAATCATCTAAATCAATTATGGGTGCGACTTTAGGCTTAGTCCATCCTGGGGCAAAATTCCTCTTCATCTCTGTGAACCTGTGAAATCTAGAATACAAGTTATCTTCTTCCGAAGTACAATGGTGGGACAGGCACGAGGTAGACATTTCCATTACAAATGGGAGAAATTGGAGGGAAAGAAGGTACAATGGGCACCAAGCAAGTTCAAAACCCAGCAGAACAAATTACATTAGTTCTCAAGGCTTGAAAACAATGCTTTCTTCTCTGAGACCATCTTGGCAACGGAGCGATTAGATTTAGAATTTAAAGTCCTAGGAGACTGAGATAAAGAATGCAGGGTGTGACTGGATCTTTTGGGTGACAGGTGATGGGGGACTAATGACTTCTAATTATAGCATCTTTCTTGGGATTAGTCTCTTGGACGGTTTGAAATGGTGAGACAAGATGGGAGTGTTTTGAATGGGGAGACTGGGAGCAAGGTGTCTGACCAAGGAGTGTGAGGTCTGTGGGCCTCCCTTCAGTCCTGCAGGGAGAGTTGAACTGGGGTCTTAATAATTTATATCTGCTCTTTATGAATAAGATATTAAACTTCGCTCTGCCATGTGGCAATTTTGGTTTCCAGTTGACCATTATTTTTAACATATAGAAAGTTTTGACATATAGAAGTTTCACATTATTTTACAGTCTTTTCCTTTGAAAAGAAGACTTTATGTTTTAGCGAGGTCATTTTCACCAAAAAAAAAAATGGGTGGCACAAACCTTTAAGC